AATAATGGAAAGGCCTGCGGCACAGATTTGAGGGGAAATAACATACTACAATCACCCCAAATTATAATGTTGTATTGTTGCATTCCCCCCAAGTGTGTGTGTGTGTGTGTCTGTGTGTGTGTGTCTGTAACGGCAAGGCTTAATATGTTGTATTCTCAGTCTTTGAGTGGCTGGCATTTTGCCACCCATAAAGACGTGCAAAGCTCTTCAAACCACATTAGAGGACCGAATATTTAGGAGTAGAGGAGATAGGGAAGGATAAATTCATGAATGCCAGAGGGCCCCATAAATTCATAGCCGGCAAAATGCGTTTATACTGTACATACAAGATCAGTGTGTACTAGAAATAGGTGGGAAACAAGAGAGGAGCAGTAAGGAAGAGAGAGGACTGGAGGAGAAAGCAAAGCAGGCAGAAAGAGGAGCAGAACTGTAATGTTACAGAAATAATATCCACACTCGCCAGTCTTACAAGGTTTTGTTGCACTCTGTGATATCCCCAACATGTTCCCCAGAGAGACGAGAGACAGGAACAGTCATGAAGAATCTTTCTTCCCCATGAGTAATGTGATAATTTGAAAATTGTTGTATATTACTTTCTGACATTTATGTTATCAGCTTCAACCTCTGAAAAGTTGAGTATTCACCTGGCGTCTTTTCTGCTATAATGACTCCCACCCCTGTTTTCCATGTTGTCAGGGGGACTCATTGTTAACTGAGCTCATGTTACTGTTACTTGTTATTCCTAAAAAGAGCATCTCTGCAATCTTTTATGCAGTTAGCAGTTTAGTTTAGTTTTCACTCTCTTTCTCACTCTGTTTTGACACATCAGATTTTGTAAAAAAAAAAGAATTTAAAACTTGTTTTTTAATTTTAGCTTTCTGTAGCTCTCCCTCGCTCTCAAAATGTGAATTTGAATCTACTGTCTGTTATCGATCGTTGGCCTCCATGGCAAATATAGCTGAAATCTATAGAAATACAATACCTGCACACTTACACATATAGAGATAAACACAAACACACCGGCACACACACCTCTTTAAAACCAGCAGGATATCACTTGGTTTTGGTTGTTTGGCAGAAAGATAAATTTGTTGGCTTTCTGGGTCTACGGTTAATACTACTGATCCTCTCTGGGTCTTGATGCCCTGTATTATGGAAACATCTTGAGCACGGTGCTCAAATGTCCATGACCTCAAATTAGAAACTCAAATGACGAACTATGAGTAACAAATAGCAATAAATGAATGGACAAGGGTCCAGGAAATGGCTTCTATTTGCTGACTCAGACTGACAAAAATGGTGGTGATGATGATGAAAATAATAATAATACAAATGCTTTCTCTCCCCACGTCGTGCTCTAACCCGTCAGCAGTTAAATACTTACTTGCTGATGCAAACTGCTTACATAAAATATAGTTTTGTCTAGTGCTTAATTTTCCAGTGATAATGACAAACATGATGGAAGTCATCTATTTACCACAGGAATACGGAGTTAGAGCACAGCTTAACACAAAGGTCTGACTTTGCATGTGCCCGGCTACTTAAACCTGTCACTGTATGAACAGAGTCCATCAATAAAACGAGTTAAATGCAAAGCACATCCACCCACCATGACATAGATGAAGAAAACACTGCATTAAGCCAGCTCTATCATTAGATGTAACATTTCATTTGCCTGTGTTCTCACTCTACACATCAGCCACTTTGACTCTCTGGCACTGAAGTTGAGTCTTGGTGACAGTCAGCTCCTCCCTCTGTTCTATTACCATGTTTTCCACTCTTTCAGCTCAGCCCAGATGCCAGGGGTGGTGGTGCTGGTCCGCCCACGCGTCTGTTGTCAAACCCTTTATGTTTGTTTGACACTTCTACCTGTGTATTTCAGTCGGACACAGCGGCATCATTAAAAGTAGCTGTTCACTGTGTTGGTTCACTTTGGATTTCACAGTGTTGATCAGAATATGGTTTATTGCCTAGTTTTCACATATAGGAAATTTGCCCTTGTTTGTTGTTACATAAAAGACATAGAAAATATAAAGAAAGATGAAAGCAAATACTGCAAGTCAAGAAGCATAAATATAAACTGTAAAGTTGACATTTAAATATGAAAAAACTCTGTGTGAAGTAGGTCATGTGTTGATGTCATATCTGGTGTTACCATAGTAACAGGTGCAAAAAACACCATGTGTCAATACTAAACTCAGCAAAAAAAGAAACGTCCTCTGACTTTCAACTGTTTTTTCTTTCAGTAAACTTAATGTGTGTAAATATTTGTATGAACACTAAAAGAGTCAACACCATAAGACATAAACGAAAAATGTTTCACAGACATGTGACTAACAGAAAGAGAATAATCTGTCCCTGAATGAAGGGAGGCTCAAAATCAAAAGTGCCAGTCAGTATCTGGTGTGGCCACCAGCTGCTTGAAGTACTGCAGTGCATCTCCTCCTCATGGACTGGACCAGATTTGTCAGTTCTTGCTGTGAGATGTTACCCCACTCTTCCACCAAGGCACTTGCAAGTTCCTGGACATTTCTGGGGGGAATGGCCCTAGCCCTCACCCTGCGATCCAACAGGTCCCAGACGTGCTCAATGGGATTGAGATCCAGGCTCTTCGCTGGCCATGGCAGAACACTGACATTGCTGTCATGCAGAAACTCACGCACAGAACGAGCAGTATGGCTGGTGGCATTGTCCTGCTGGAGGATCATCTCCGGATGAGCATGCATAAAGGGTACCACATGAGGGAGGAGGATGTCTTCCCTGTACCGCAAGGCATTGAGATTGCCTGCAATGACAACAAGCTCAGTCCGATGGTGATGTGATATACCGCCCCAGACCATGACGGACCCCCCACCTCCAAATCGATCCCGCTCCAGAGTACAGGCCTCGGTGTAACGCTCATTCCTTCAACGATAAACACGAATCCGTCCATCACCCCTGGTGAGACAAAACCGTGACTCATCAGTGAAGAGCACTTTTTGCCATTCCTGTCTGGTCCAGCGAAGGTGGGTTTGTGCCCATAGGCGGCGTTGGTGCTGGTGATGTCTGGTAAGGACCTGCCTTACAACAGGCCTACAAGCCCTCAGTCCAGCCTCTCTCAGCCTATTGCGGACAGTCTGAGCACTGATGGAGGGATTGTGTGTTCCTGGTGTGACTTGGGCAGTTGTTGTGGCCATCCTGTACCTGTCACGCAGGTGTGATATTCGGATATACCGATCCTGTGCAGGTGTTGTTACACGTGGTCTTCCACTGCGAGGATGATCAGCTGTCCTTCCTGTCTCCCTGTAGCGCTGTCGTAGGCGTCTCACAGTGCGGACATGGCAATTTATTGCCCTGGCCACATCAGCAGTCCTCATGCTTCCCTGCAGCATGCCTAATGCACGTTCACGCAGATGAGCAGGGACCCTGGGATCTTTCTTTGGGTGTTTTTCACATTCGGTAGACAAGTCTCTTTAGTGTCCTGCGTTTTTAGAACTGTGACCTTAAGTGCCTACTCTCTGTAAGCTGTTAAGGTCTTAATGACCATTCCACAGGTGCATGTTAATTGATTATGGTAAATTGAACATGCATGGAAAACATTGTTTAAACCCTTTACAATGAAGATCTGTAAAGTTGTTTGGATTTTTATAACATTATTGTTGAAATACACAGTCCTGAAAAAGGGACGTTTCTTTTTTTGCTGAGTTTATATGTATGTATGTACGTTTTTGAATGTTTGCAGGATACACACATTTTTAGGGACAATAGTTCAGTTTAAAAAAAGAAAAAGCCCCCTGATGTTGTCCACATTCAGTCTGATGTTTACATAGTTATTCAAAGTATCTACCAACACCCACACATTTCTCACACGTCAGCAAACACCCAGTTACAGAAAGCAGAAATGTGATATTTTGTGGTACACAGTACAGTATAAAAATAACTTTTAGCCACAAGGTCAAAAACATTCATTTTAGTAATTTGTTCATGTAATGTATTAATTTAATCTAGAACTCCACTTTGGCCAAAATGGGCAAGGGGGCCGTGGCTTTAATAAATAAATAAAAATACTTACTTTACTCATTTGTTAATGCTTGTTAAATGATATTCATAGAAAATATAACATAAAATTGTGTTTTAAATGATGGAATACATATGGTTCAATCTTGTCGTTGGTCCCTGCAGCTCAATATGCACTTTTATCACTAACTCTAAATTGTAGGCTGATTCCTTTGGATTATACCACTGAATGGGGACTGTTGCTATATCCATCCATCGTCAACCGCTTATCCTGCGTACAGGGTCATGGGGGGCTGGAGCCAATTCCATCGCAGGGCCACACATAGACATAGACAACCACTCACACCTAAGGACAATTTCAGAGACACCAAATAACCTATATTTATATAATACAATTATAGGGAAGTGCTTTTAAATAAAAATTATGTAAAGATAGATAATATGTAAAAAAATAAATAAATAAATAAGAAAGATTTGGTGAAAGCTTGAAGAAAAGACAATCTTATGCATATCAGTTTTACATAGGGCAAGTGAGCCACTTACTTACTCAGGCACATAATTATGGCATTGGGCCAAATATTTTTTTGTCATTAGATGGTGGACCAGAACATTGTCAATTGTGTATTAATATTCCATTATTTACTGTGTGTGCAATTAGCTCAGTTGGTAGTGCACATCACTCCTGTTTAGAGGATTGTGTGTTAAATCCTCACTTACTGCTAGTATTTTTCTTCCTTTTCAACAAATTGATTGTGATGAGATCCTATTACACATTACAATTAAGCATGTGCAGGAGTGTGTACATCCTGGCGATTGGTCCGCATCAAACTATAGACGCCCCAGTATCTCCAGGCAGAGGAAATTCCTGCTTTACTCATTGAGGGGAATCCGCAATCTCAGTTTTCTGATGGCTTTTCAGAGGTGTGTCAAGCAAGCCAGAGACTCTTTTGAATTTCCTTCAGAACTTTTCAAAGTAAAAGCTCTGAATTAAACACAACATAAAGTACTGCTGCAGAAATGTTCTCACGCTTTTATTTTGTAGACACAATCAATTAGGAGGAATTGATTTGTAAGTAACTTTTGTTGTCGTGACTGAGATCTGTTTTAGCACCAGCCGCTATTATTATTATTTTTTTGCCACTAACAAAGAAATATGGCCACGTGCCAGATATTATTGCTTGCGGGCAAGCTTTGGCCCACGGGCCTATTATTGGCCACTGCTCTAAGTTAATTCTTCTGTATTGACTTGTACACAGTTTTCAAAGAAAATCTGTTCCACCCATTTTATCAGTGGTATTGTTTTTAAATGCTAACTTTCTCTTGTTACTACTGCTACTCATTGTTAATCTTGACACGAAGCCAGGGCCACAATAAGACACATGCCTTTGATGTGGGAGACCAGGGTTCGAATCCCACATCGGCACATCCACCAATGTGTTCCTGACCAAGACACTTAACCCCTAGTTACTCCAGAGGCGTGCAACCTCTGACATGTATAGCAATTGTAAATCGCTTTGGATAAAAGCGTCAGATAAATGAATGTAATGTAACATGAACTTTAGTCATGCTGAGCATCAGTGTTGTACCGTTCCACAAACACAGCACAATATACCACACACATGACACATAAGTAATAAACAGTTCTAAGTGAATAAGTAAGTAAAGCTTGCAAAATACAATGAATACATGATAAATAGGCAGTAAAAATTAAAAAGATTGAGCTAAAAATGGATAAATAAAGAAATAAAATAAATCACCAATCCTCACACTCACGGACATACACATAGATGAAAAAGTTAATCAACCATTCATGTTTCTAATGGACATAGGCACAAAACTTGTCATATATTTGGTCTTTGTATATACATTACTTCATCAAATTGAGGTAACCAACAACAGTATTGTCAAAGTATGAATTCAATGTAATGTAATAGACCACTGGAAACCTCAAGGCCTTGGTGAAGAAACAATCTATACCTGAAAGTTACAGAGGGAACAGCAGGAAACCACTGAAGATGTTAAAGGTGCTCGAATCATCATAAAGGCTACAGTCTTGTTGGAGACACACACAGACCACACTTCCCTGTTCCAGCTGTAGAAATAATGCATTTGCAATGGAAGTATGACCGTTAGCTCCCTCCGAATTATGCATTTTTTTTCAGTATTATGGTATAAATTTACTCCCATCCATTCTAGACTCCTTTGACCAGTGCAGTGAAGATACCTGCGACAGGAGAGAATGAGAGCTGTCAGTGTTGTCCATCTTTTAGACAATATTATGATGCTTGTGGCAATGCTTACCTGTAGTTGGGTTGTAAGCCCCGCCAATATTTGTGAAGACTACTGTAGTTGAGTGGAGTTTAAGTTTCGAATGGTCCAATTTTTCCTGTAGTGGGCAATCCAGCAGAGAAAGCCAGCTTCTGAGTTTCTGTAAACACAGCATGGAATCATTTAACTGAGAGAATTAGTTAAATTGTGGTATTTTTTTAAAGATAGCAATAATTGCGAAAACAAATGGTTAGTCTTAAGGGAAAGAACAGAATAAAAACATTCAGTTAATGCATGTATGTACAGTATATAAGTATGTATTTCTTGTCTCATCAAAATACCTGCAGTTGTCCTTTCTGTTTACAATTTGTTCTTGGTGAGCTGTAGTTAAGTCTTACAAACATCCAGCTCTTCCCTGAGAGCTGTCACCCGTTTCTCCTGCTCCTGCTCCTCCTTCTGACTGGTTGTCACTCTGGAAACCAGGGCTGCAAAAAATACATTTCTGGTTTGTTATTGTGTGTTAGTGCTGATATGACTGCAAATTCAACTTAATAATTAACTTTATAAGACTTTTATACTGACTTATCCCATCTTCTGGTGTCTGGTATTGTAGAGTTTTTCAGTTCAAACAGAAAGCTGCAATAGGCTTTACATTACAGCCATTATTAAACAGATTAGGGAGACTGTGAGTCTGATGTTTTTCTTTTAGTGGTGATATTCTGCTAAGTTCACTGAATTAATATTAAAATTGCTGCAATTCCATCTAAAGGCTGTTTATGTGGATATCATTTAACCTTCGCTAAAAGTACTCTATCACAAGTAATTATTAGGTTACCTTTACTTGGGTTTAGCCTAATCTAGAGCTGAAACAATTACAATTAATAGATTAGTTTATCACCAAAGAGAAATCTGCAACAATTTTGCTAATAATTTAATTGTTTACTTAAAAAAAAAAAAAAAAAAAAGTAATTGATGATGAAAGTTATCATAATTTTCATTAAGAATCATTGCATCCCCAGCATAAACATCACAGTTGTCTTTGATTTACTACCTGTGTTCTCCTTCTCTAAAGCAGCCACTTTGCCCCTCTGGGTTTGCAATTCAGCCTTGCTGTTCCTGAGTTCCACCTTCTGCTCCACCACCATGTCTCTCAGATGTCTAAGCTCATCCCAGATAATTCTCATCTGTAAGCCTTGGTCAGCTCCTCCACCCACTCCTTGAGCCCATGTCGCAGACAGATCGAACAGCAGCACCAGCAACAGAGTAACCCTCATTGCAAAACCTCACCCCTCCAGAAAAACCTCTAAGAAATGAAATGGAATCAGACGTTTTCACTGTTCTACTTTACATCTCCCAGTGACCCAGTTCTCTAGCTCTCCCTCGCTCTCAAAATTGAATCAGTGTGAGTCTGTTATCGATCATTGGTCTCCTGGCAAATATAGCTGAAATCTATAGAAATACAATACCTGCAAACTTACACATATAGAGATAAACACAAACACACAGGCGCACACACCTCTTTGAAACCAGCAGGATATCACTTGGTCTTGGTTGGTTGGGAGAAAGATAGTCTTGAATCTGGCATATATGACCTCTGACATAGCAATTGTAAGTCGCTTTGGATAAAGCTGAATGAATGAATGTAAATGTACCTAAAATATAGTTTTGTCTAGTGCTTAATTTTCCAGTGATAATGACAAACATGATGGAAGTCATCTATTTACCACAGGAATACTGAGTTAGAGCACAGCTTAACACAAAGGTCTGACTTTGCATGTGCCCGGCTACTTAAACCTGTCACTGTATGAACAGATGAGTCCATCAATGAAACGAGTTAAATGCAAAGCACATCCACCCACCATGACATAGATGAAGAAACACTGCGTTAAGCCAGCTCTATCATTAGATGTAACATTTCATTTGCCTGTGTTCTCACTCTACACATCAGCCACTTTGACTCTCTGGCACTGTCAGTCAGCTCCTCCCTCTGTTCTATTACCATGTTTTCCACTCTTTCAGCTCAGCCCAGATGCCAGGGGTGGTGGTGCTGGTCCTTTATGTTTGTTTGACACTTCTACCTGTGTATTTCAGTCGGACACACGGCATCGTGTTGGTTCACTTTGGACTTCACTGTGTTGGTTCACTTTGGACTTCACTGTGTTGGTTCACTTTGGACTTCACTGTGTTGGTTCACTTTGGACTTCACTGTGTTGGTTCACTTTGGACTTCACTGTGTTTATCAGAATCAGGTTGATTGCCAAGTAGGTTTCGACACACAGGGAATTTGCCGTTGAATGTTGTTGTGTAACAATAAACATAATAAATAGAAAATATAAAGAAAGATGGAAGCAAACACTGTAAGTCAAGAAGCATAAATATAAAATGTATAGTTGACAATTAATAATGAAAACCAAACAAATTTTGGTGAAAGCTTTCCTGAAGCCTCTGGCTGAAGTTGACAAAAGCAACAGCATAACTGGGTAAACGACGCAAATGCTCTATTTTTGACATTCTTATGCAGTTTTACATAGAGCAAGAGAGACATTTATGACAGACTCACAATAGAAGACAATAAGTGAACTTGGATGTTGTGATGATGTTACTGCCAATTTCATAGCTTTTAGCTATTATTTATCCTTCAAACACTTCTCGTTCCATTCTGTCTTACACCAGTGAGTAGTTGGGCAGTTAATTCTACTGTATTGACTGGTAGAAAGTTTTCAGGGAAAGTCAGCTCCACCAATTTGTTCAGTGGTATTGTAGTTAAATGCTAACATTCTTTATTTCATTTTTAAAATTTGCACATAATAATTGTTAATCTACAGCTTTACACTTTGTTCCCATACATCTTTCACGCCTGATATTTCATTGCTAAATAATGGAGCAGCAAAACTTTGGGATCCTTTCATAACAGGGGCCAGTTAAGAACAGTATAGCTTGTTGGTGGTCATGCACATTAGTTTATTTAGACAGTGGTTGTAGCATACAAGAGTCAGCATCTTTATTCTGTGCATATAATTGACTTAATTAAATTAAGTAACCAACGACAGTATTCACAAAGTATTAATTAAATGTAATGTAATAGACCACTGGAATGTGCAAAGAACACTCAAGGCCTTAATAAAGATAGACAAACTATATCTGAAACTTACAGAGGGAACAGCAGGAAACCACTGAAGGTGTTCAAGGAGCTAGGATCATCATATAGGCCACAGTTTTGTTGGAGACGCAAATAGACGACACTTCCTTGTTCCAGCTGTAGAATTAATGCATTTGCAATGAAAGTATGACCGTTAGCTAACTCAGAATTATGCAAAATTCTTTCACTATTACGGTATAAATTTACTGCCATCCATTCTCCGTTTTTGTTGTTGAAAGCTGTGAATCTTATGTAGTAGACTCCTTTGACCGGTGCAGTGAAGATACCTGCGACAGTATCAGAGAATCAGAGAGGTTGTCCATCTCTCAGACAATATTACAATGCTTTTGGTAATTCTTACCTGTAGTTGGGTTGTAAGCCCCGCCAATATTTGTGAAGACTCTACTGTAGATGAGTGGAGTTTCAGTGTTGAATGGTCCAATCTTTCCTGAAGTGGTCAAACCAGCAGAGAAAGCCAGCTTCGGAGTTTCTGTAAACATAGATTGCAATAAAACAGGATAGAAGCAAAGTTTAATTTCAAGGGAAAGCAATAAAAACAGCCAGTTCTCTATTCAGACTGGTGCTGTTTTAAAGTAGGCAGTCTCCAGTTAAAGTTTGTATGTATGTAAGTATGTATTTCTGGTCTCTTATCGAAATACCTGCAGTTGTCCTTTCTATCTCATCCAATTTGTTCTTGGTGAGCTGTAGTTGAGTCTTAGAAATATCCAGCTCTTCCCTGAGAGCTGTCACCTCCTTTTTCTGCTCCTGCGCCTCCTTCTGACTGGTTGTCACTCTCGAAACCAGGGCTGCCAGTTCTGCTGCTTGTGCTAGAAGCAAGAAAGACTCAACATTTTGCTCTTTCAAGATTTTTCCAGAATTACCAAATCTTTGATTTTGGTAATTACGTACCAGAAATCAGTCTCTCAGCCTCCTCCACTTTTTTCTTCTGCAGCTGCTGTTCAGACTTAGTCGCTTCCAGCTCTGCTGTAATTGCTGTCACCTTGTTTTCAGTGGCTGTCAGTCTGGAGCTCATCACTGAAATACCATAGAGGCTGAGGATGAAGTTCTCTAAGTAATGCTGTCTAAAGTAGCATTCCACAACATCTTCATAAAAATACATTTCTAGTTTGTTGTTGTGTATTGCTGCTGATATACAGCTATTTTAAAACAGATTAGCGGGACTGCGAGCATGAGTCTGTTGTTTCGAATCTCTCAATTTTAAATTGGCAATGCTTAATGATTAATATTAATTAGTGTTCAGTACACTGAATTAATATTTAAAGTGTGGCAATTACATTAGATATTACATACATTATCACAAGTAATGATTACATTGACTTTACTTGGGTTTAGCCTAATCTAGAGCTGAAACAATTAGTCAATGAATGGATTTGTTCATCACCAGAAAAAAAAATGTCAACAATTTTGCTAATCATTTAATCGCACATGTCTCTGGATTTCTTTGTGTTGTGGACTGCTGGTTGGAAGAAGAAAAAAAAGAAATTTACATGTCTATGTTGTCATGGACATTTTTCACAATTTTCTGACATTTCACTGACCAAGTAATTGGTACACGCATTCGTCTTTGATTTCCTACCTGTGTTCTCCTTCTCTAAAGCAGCCACTTTGTCCCTCTGGGTTTGCAGTTCAGCTTTGGTGTTCCTCAGTTCCACCTTCTGCTCCACCACCATGTCTCTCAGAGCTCTAAGCTCATCCCAGACATTCCTTGTCTGTAAACCTTGGTCACCTTCTCCGCCCTCTCCTTGAGCCCATGTCGCAGACAGACCAAACAACAGCACCAGCAGCAGAGTACCCCTCATTGTAAAACCTCACCCCTCTGGAAAATTTCTAAGAAATGAAATGGAATCAGAGATTTTTACTGTTCTACTTTACGTCTCCCAGTGACCAATAGTATTGTGGGTGGTCAAAGATAACTCTTATTTGTCTTGGGCAGAGTTGCACAAGAGGGCCGTCCCTGACCATGTTTAGGAAGGTGTATGATGCAACGCCCTCAGCTGTTTATACAAGAAGGATTTCCCTTTTATTTTATAACGTTTTCAAAATGACCCCCACACCAACAGAACAGAAAATGACTTAAAGGGATTAAGCACTCGCAAAAAACATTTAACATGTAGCTGAGTTAATGAAATTATTTCACTTTAATTGAACAGTGCTTTTCTCATCATTTATCTTGTTTACGCAGATGGTCAGTAGCTGCACACTGGACGTTAACATGTGCATATTATCTGCATTAACAGAACAGCCTTGGCAAATGTAACTCATTGAATTAATGCCTCTATTGACATTAATAATAAATGGTACTCTTAGATGACAGTGTGTTTTTAAAACAGAAAGCCTTGGAAGGAATTGTGAAAAAAAAAAAAAGTTTTATGTGACCTCAAAAGTTGTTTTCCAAGTTAGAAGTCTCAAAATGTCATAAGAATATCTGGGTCAAATGTTATTCTAAAATGATATAATTACTGTAGGTTAACATTTCATTATTTATGTGAAATCAGTCTCACCCTTTCCGTTGTTTTAATGGGTTATTTATCAGTAGGGAAGACATCCTTGCCATAGTTTGGTGACTTTTTTTCTTTGTAATGAGTTTTCAAAGTGATGGTGTGAGATGAGTGAACCCGCAGTGCAATTTCTTCATTTTTATTGAATTCCAAACAAAAACAGAGCAAAGTGACCAGTCAGCCTTACACCTCGTTATCAGGGCTCCTTGCATATGAATGACAACTCAGAAGCAAGCCATTAAACAGTCTTATCTAGTCAAATCTGAACAATTCTCTTCCTCCTCCTTCTACTCTCCTTCATTATCTGCATTCTTTTTATCTGTGGCAGACAGCCGGCATGTGTGCGATTTGAGCCTGTGTGTTTGCCGTGTGTGACACAGAGAGAGAGAGAGAGAGAGCGCAACATATTTAATGTAAGACTCGTTTTTTGTGTGTCTGTCCTGTAAAGATTCAACACTGCTATCACTGATAAGCTCATCATTCAAAGCTATTGCAGGTGATGTAAAACAGATGAGGGTACACAAGGTTACACAGTATCTATTTTCCATTACGTTCAAGAGGTTAAAGAGAGGAACGGGATTGGAGCAGAGAGCTTGGTCGTGATTACATCAAACTGATATACAGTCAGAAATGTGCCAGCAAAGGTGCACATCAAGGTCGCTTTCTACCATAACAGATGTTTTTGTTGTCATTCAGACAAAGCAGGCGCCATGCTCTAATAGTTCTTACTTTTCAGTTCATAACTTCTCAAGTACAACAAAAATGCTACATTAAACTGTATCTGTGTGTGTGTGTGTGTGTGTGTGTGTGTGTGTGTGTGTGTGTGTGTGCATATTTAACCAGCATTGCCCTGAACAAGGCCACAGTGGTCACACCCCTCAGCAGGTGGCCATCTTGGCTCTTAGCTTCTTTGGTCAGTGCCGTGATGACACACACGTACACACACACACACGTGCACACGGGTGCCCTGCTGATGAAGATTAATTAGTGTAGACCCCCTACTGACATGAAAGCTAGGGTCTCCGAGTGCATTCTGGGAAGGAATAAACTATGCGAAAGTGTGTGTTGTAGACGGTGAAGAAACGCAGAAACTGTAACACACAAACCAAATGCACTAACAGAAGCTTGCGCACTCTCTTACACACGTGGGTCAAATGTATTAACACATGCAGCGTGCTGTATGTGTTAACGTACATTCAGATCCATGGGTATACGCAATCTGCTGAGACTGATTTGCACGTGACCGTACCTTGAACTTCGCTACAACGTCCGCACCATTGATGTATTACCGTCGGTGAAGCAGTGAGCTGAGCCGAATTGAAAAAGACGGACAACGCGGCAGATGGCCACAAGAGGAGAGGGGTATAAAGCTGGAAAGAAAAAAAGGGAAAAGTGAAATGCAGAAATACAGGACAGGAAATAAAGACAGAGAGATGGAAAAAGAATCAGGGAAAGAGAAGGATGCGGGGAAGGAAGGATGAATAGAGATTGGTGTCAGTAAGAGGTGATGTATAGAGGAGAGGGTGATGAGAGTGAGCTGGCTTCTCTCTCGGCTCTGGTAGTAATGTCCCTTTCCAAAACATCACTCATATTTAATGGAGCACAGCTACAAGGGAATAGAGAGAAAAGGAGAGCACAAAACTTGCATGCACGAACACACGTTGACATATGCAGACAACGCCACACATTACAGACGTGTACACACTTGCACAGAGTGCTCAAAGTTTGCCTGCACAGATAGAGGACACACACACACACACACACATGCACTCTGGTACTCAGATGCAAACAGGGTTCTCTGAGAGTTAATGGAGTTGAGACACGGGGGCCTTGAGACTAGATACTCGACTTGGAAAGGGTGGAGAGAGGAAGACGGACTGAGAGGACAAAAGAGAAAAGAAGAATAACTCTCACACATGAAAATACACATAGAAAGAAGAGGGAAGAGGGGAAAACTGTGGTAAAGGCAAGAAGATGATCCTCTGCTGAGCATGTCTGAACTCTGTGTGAAGCCACATTCACCAGGCAGCTTGAATGGACACACAAAGCAGGGATAAAATACAGGGGTGCAATGATTGTGGAGGGGAAAAAACTGCTGTATGACAAAGTACATGTACACCCACATGCCTCTCATCTATCATGAGTCACTCAGTCATCTTTTCCTTCAATCCTAGTCAGGTCCTTGACATTCTCCTATAACGAAGTTAACTTTGACCTAGGAAAAGGAACCAGTCTTGAATATTTGTCATTACAGCAAGCTAGAAATAAAACACAAGGGTTGGACACTTAAGTGCTTTTTATTTATTTATTTTTTCTCAATTTAGAGTTCACAATGAATGAATGTGGTGCTGCATTTTTAATAGATTTGGTTATGGGTACATTTCTTTTGCAGGAATTCAAATTATTGAAGCATTATTATTGAATCATTGGAAATTCAGTCAGCAAAAACCAAGAAGGTTTTACACTTACAGAACAAGATGTTAATAATTTAACTTATGCAAATACACCTTCGTAGTATGTGTTCTCTGAAGACATTCTTGTCCCCCCCCCTCCCCTGTCCAGGTTCAGGCCTTAATGATGGCCAATGGCACGCAGTACGTTTGGTCGCCAAGGACAACTTCGCCATGTTGACAATAGATGGCGAGGAGGCATCTGCCGTGCGCTCCACCTCACCTCTCACCATCACGACAGGAGGAACCTATCACTTGGGAGGTAAGGGTCACCCCGACACCATCAACCACAGATCTGACCAACACAACTTTCACCTCCACCTCCGTTCATCGCCATCCCGTCTCATTCCTCTCCAGTGCCCGTTAAAAACTCGTGGGAGGCATCAGAGTTCACTACGCTTACATATAGAAAAATGGGACAGTGTCAGAATATAGCTTCCAGATTACAACCGTTTTCATGCAGGTTGCGTTTCAGTCAATCTTGACTACTTGTTTCATAAATTCTACAAAATATTGTCATGAATCTTCATTTTTGTTGCGTTGTCTCAAATAACTAACATTACTTTTTGTGGTTGATTGCATACCTGCTTATTCCTTAATTAATCAAAATGAGCCATGGACACAGAAACCTTTTAAACGACATGATAATTAATCTGCTTTCACTTTTGAGAAATTTAATTTGGTAAGTTAGTATAGAAAAGTTTGGTAGGAAAAGCAGACAGAGCTCAGTGAAACTTCTTATATGAACTGTCTTATCCGTGTGTGTGTTGGTGGGGGGGTATTTGCAGGCTTGTGTGTGTGTGTGTCTGCAGGCTAAATATGTCTGCAAATCATTTATCTCGCTAGAAATCTATATCCCAGTGGCCTATCGGAGTTCAGGAAGTTGCTCACTTAGCAAGAGCATAGACACAACTAGACCACCAGATAGACACACAACCATACAGAGGGGAACACATACCAACACACACATGCACAAGCGGCAGCCACAATCTGTCTGAATTAGGAAGACGCCGGGTTAATGATGCCAGACACCGCTGTCCGTCTGTTGGAAGATGGTCCATATCTAAGTGTGTGTATGTGATTGTGTGTTGGGTGTGTGGGCACCTGTATGAAATTACAGTAAATGTGAGAGATAGTGTGGACTCTGATAGCTCCATCAGGCCACTGTCCCTCTCTCTCTGTCAGAGTACACTCCTCCATCAAGCAAAAATAATTTCCCCAGCCCAGTCAATAAGGATCACCTGTCTCTCACTCACACACACACACACACACACACACACACACACACACATCGAGATTCTTTTATTCTCTTGTCCATCTTAATTTACTCCTTGCTGCTGTTGAGTGAACCCCCCTTAAGCCCAGGATGGCTCTCTGTACTTCTTATTTATGAAATCTAAGCTTGTTAGGCCTTGATATGCTAATTGCATTTCACTGAAGAAGCATTGCGTTTTTGTATGCACCTTTTAACTCCCTTTTTCAAGTTTTTTTCTGGGGTAATCATAGGTACTTTTAAAAAAAGTGTTGCAGAGTCATTTAATATTAACACTTTTTATTATTGCTCACGTCTCTTTCACCCCAACTTTCTCTCTATAATTTCTCTTTGTCTATCCTTTCTTTTTCCTCTCTTCTGTTCTCTCTTCCTCTAGTCTCTGTTTTGATCCAATTGGTGATTTATTGATTTAGGGAAGCTGAGTTGGGAATCAATAGTGGCTGAGAGGAGAGGATCTCTGTAATGTCTTTACCCCAGGAAGAGGGCAGAGGAGACAGACAGGGAGAGAGAAAAGGAGAGTTAAACTGAAGAGAAGACAGATAAAAGGTAGGGAAGAGGAGAAAGTAGAGACAAGGAGTGAAGCAAAGTTTTTGGGTGGGAAATTTCAAAGATAGCAGGTTCATACGTAAGTGCGAGGCTTGAGAGAGGTAAAGGAGGCGAATGCTATTTGCTAAGAGGAGCGGGGAGGCTGAGAGGAAGGATGAAAGTGACCTGCACGTCATCAGAGTGAACACAGTGCTCCAAACACACACAATTCACAGATTCACATTCATATACACACAGGTAGGCACGCACAATAGACTGTACAGTATGTGTTACAGATTATTTTGAGAAAACAATCTTGCACGTAGCTTTCACTTGCACGTGCATACACAGATATACTCACTCACACTTACATGCCACCATTCAGAGAGGTACAACTATGTTCTTTCAGTTTTTTCCCCCACTCCTACTGATAGAAGTAGTGTGTGGGTTGAATTGGCAGCAACTGTGACTGGGGTTTTACTCGTTAGCTTCACATGGCATAATGAATGCTGAGGAGCAGGGAGACTGGCGGTACTGTAAACACAAGTTGCAGGGGATTCAAAACTGCTGATTATTACTATGGCAGTACAAACTGATATTTAGGCCTCCGCGTCACAGGCAAGGGGAGTAGTTTTAGGAAGGCATTTATGGATACCGTAAATATCTACCAGTTCATTCTTAGTTCAGACTTGAGATTTGCGTTTTCTTGGGGAAAGGGTGAGTGTACTGTTGCAGGTTGTTTTTAGCTCTGAGAATAATTTTAGTTTTTTGACAGTCGGGTTTGGATTTACTTTAGATTTATACAGCATCCTGATCAGTCCTCCAGTTTCATGACCTGGTTTTATTTTATATCACTCGGTGCCTTGCTTCCCTATTATCACGGATAATGACAATGACGGCCTGGAGCCATCCGAAAATGTGCATATGTAGGTTAGTGTGAGCGTGAATGACCTGTGCATGAACAGGGGTGTGGGTATTTTTTAACCACATGCTCTGAAACTTCCAAGCACACATGCACACAGAAACACACTTAACTCACAACTCGTAAAAATGTATTAAAAACACTCCACCTATTCACATTCGGGGGCTAATTTCCATCCCAGCACAGAGGTAACAGAATAATATAGTGATTGTATGAAAGATAGTTTAGCCTTCGGCTTGCCCTCAATTACTCTCTCTGATCGCTCAACTTGATGAGTCAGAGGCCAGGCGCATTAAGTCCTAAAGCTCTCTTACAGTTTTCCATCAGCACTTTCAATGTGACTATGTGCCACAATAAGCAGAAACCCTCTGTATCATGAACAGTCCTTGTCCTTTTATACGCAGAACGAAGCTTTAGATAATTGCTAAGAGTCATTTGTGTCGGTTCAGTCATCCAGGTAGCCATCTGCTCACAATCTCATAGCTTTAAGGCATCAATCTGCTGTGTTTTCATTGGTAAGAGTTGTTGATCAGTGACCACAGACTGAGCCAGACTTCATAAACAAAGTAATACCGCCACTACCACGTTATGACATGGCTCTTAATACACTCATTTTGACAATAGGCATTTATCTGCTGCCATTTCTGTTTTAGGTTGTCCTCTCATCATCTAACTGTCAATGCATGTAGTGAACATATTATACTGTTTGCTTAGCATGAAAAATTACTGCTAGTAAGCGGGGTCCAATGTAGCCATATCATGTACTACAATAGGGTGGGTGCCATTGCACAGTAGAAACTTTCCTTGGGAAGAGGAAGAAGTAGAGAGTTTACTATCTGTCTGTTTCTGCGTTCTTCATTTTAAGGGGTTTTTTTTTCCCACTGAGGCTTAATATTTAGTAAGCATGTCCAATTGCTACATTAAACCAAACAATACTACTTAGTATTGTATTCAAGCTTCACATATGTAGGGATATGTTGTATATTCATTATGCAGATGCACTTAAACACACAAAGTCTGAAGCCCAGTGTTTATCTGACACTAAAAGTATAATACTGTATGATTAAAGTCAGAGAGGATCAGTGCAGCTGGGTAACAGGTAATTTTGCTATTAAGACATTCAAACAAACACATATACGAGCACACAAAGGTGGTTGACGTGGAGGTATATTGTGAGATGATTATCAGTCTTTAATCAAACAGAAAGTGAGTGAGTGTGCATGTACACGTACTCTGCAGTGGACAGAACACCACCAGTGGGACATGATTACTTTTTGTGTCTTCCAGGTCTAAAACTGTGTCTCCATTAAATGTGAAACATGGAAAGCAGTTAGCCAGGGGCAGGTAAAAATCTTTCACTGCCTTGCTCCATATAAAGACAACCAGTGATGATCATTTTTGCTATAAAAATGTGACACTACTTGAACTTCAGGTTCCCTTCATACAGAAGTTGATCTTGTAGATTGTATTAAGTACTTTAATGCATAAATCCTCTATTTAATTAGAGAAGAAATGTTTTAAACATAACAGTGTTCCTTAATGCTTTTAGATAGCATTAATATTAATACCATCGTTGTCTAATATGAAGACAAGCATGCTGACACAAAAATATTTGCTAATTAAGGTTTTAATTACCGTAATAAATTACCTACTTGCATAAGTGGTTATGTTTAATGCATGGTGACTATGATGGGACATTATGCA